GAGAACCACAGGGAGACATCACGGGCTATTTGCAGTTCCCTGTAACACCAGAACACTATTGCCAATCAGGATATGGAATCTTCAGGGTCCCCACTCTGGGTCTCCTAAACTTGGAGTTATTCTACAGCCTCTGGAGGTTCATAGTGACTCTGTCCCCCAGCCCCAAATATTATTCAGCAGGCTGTCTTGGTCCATTTGGTAACAAATATCCATAAGGTCCAGGTTTATTGGAGTGACTTTTACCCTCAAAATGATGTGAAATTTGGGAAACTGTTTGAACATCCTCTTTCTCCCCAAAACTTCTGGGTTCAACTTGGTCCTCTTAGAGTAGGTCCAGCACAGGGTCAATCTTATTCTAGATTAAAATAGAAAAATTTAGTCCACCCTGAGTGTAAGCCCAGATCCCAGTTTGCTGGCCTGATGAATCAACCAGTCTATGGCCAATGGTATGTTTTGCTCTTTGGCATCAATTTTACCTAGTACTCTTCCCCTCCCCCAGGATTCCCCTTTCCTAGACTTTATTAGTGGGTTAACCTAAGCCCCAACCACAGAATACTATAATCTTTAGGCATGAAATATTTTAAGCCAATTAAACAATTTAGCCTTGAAAAATAAGGCACCTCAAAAAATGATAAAGTTTCCAGCAAAGCCTCTGATATATGTGAGCTTTAGATCTATTTGAACTAGTACAGCCTAGCTATTCCAAGTATACCCTGGTGGTCGCAAGTTCTCCTGAAGTTTGTTTCCAAATTCGTGTGGTCCTTTTATGCTATTTTAGCAATAGGTCATAACTCTCCTCCTCTCTTCAAACATCATTTTTCAAATTAAAGTTTTATCCTCCTATGGAAGTCTGATGGTTTTGAATTATGCATGTAGGGCAATGAACCTGTGCTCTCATTAGAAATTTGTTATAAATATATGTTTATTTGGCAGGCTTATCTCAAGTAATATATTTATTAATATTCTACTGATAATCCAAGGCAAGCCTACCTGGCTAGATGAAGCCCTTTGTGTGGTTTAGTTGTGCTTGGTGTTTGACACCAAATACAAGTAGAAACAGGGGCTGTCGAACAATGCATTAGGATCCCCCCAGGCTGCTTGCTAACTTAGAAAACCATTAACATTATTATATTAATATTATTTATGTTCTATTGGTTTTTTATTTATTGTGTTACTTATTTCTCAATTACATTTTAATCTGGTCCTGCCCACACTCAGGAGGCTGGCTTGGGTTTGATGCTCCTGCTACAGAGCTAGACCAGCAAATCAGGGATGAGGGAAGGGAGAGTGGACAGAAGCACAGTGGGTAAGAATTAAGTAACTTGAGTGCAATCCTCCTAATTTCTTTTGGTTTGTTTGCTTCCTTTGGAACCACCATTTATTTCATTGTTGTGGTTCTTTATCCTGATTACCCACTCTACCACCTCTCCCTCCCCCCACCACAAAAAAAAAAATACATCTTTCACTGTGCTTCCCAAAGCTAGGCTGTCAGTGGAAAGTGAGACCTATCTGTCACTGGCTTTGGAGCAGCCATGATCAAGATGAAGGGCTGAGAGCCTGGGGAGGGAGTAGTCCCTGGGGTTAGGCTATGGAATGAGGATGCTCTTAATTTGATGTACTCTTATTTTCCCTTTTAGATTATTAGCTCCTTACAGGCAGGTTCCTTCTTCTTATTCGTCTTTGTACCTCTATTCATTACTTATCTATCTAGATAGCACATGGGCACATACACATTTAAGTGCTAAATAAATGTTGAATTAAATTCTCTCCTCCTTTCTTTATATACATAAGCTGTTGTCTCCATCATACCTTTTTGTTATTGTTTCTTTTTCCCCATTTTCTTTCTGCTCCCTATCATCATCTTTGCTTTAATTATATAATTATAAATAGCCTATACAAAATTTAAATTACCTGTGTTTATATAGCCACCATCTTTTCTGTAAAATATATCTATAATTTCTTATATTTATACACAGTGCCTCTGATGCTTTATATGGCTTAAAGTTTTGGAATGTCTTAAGCCTACCTCCCAGCTATCTAATTTTCTGGTTTTAAAAGAACAGATTTGAGAAACTAAAACAATCAGTTCACTCTCCAGAAAAAGAAAAAGAAGCTAGTTAAATTGTACCCTAGAAACACTCTGGAAGATAGCACTTGTAACATAAGGGCTCAGTGTTGAATTTCAGATACAAAATAAATTTCAGAAAGAAATTGCTGAATGTGCAAACCTTTGCAAAACCAAACTGTTCTCTTTCAGCATTCCCTAACATTAATCTGTTCTCTTGGGACATTGAGAGTTTCCAGTAGAATGTCAAAATGATAATAATGCACCACTTCATCATTAAAACAAGGCTCAGATGAGCCCTCATCTCCTCTTGTTTTGAGACTGAATAGTATTACCAAGGTATGTAGGTTGGCAAATACTACACTAGAAAAAAAATAAAATTAGTTTTTTAATATAGTTTATATACCAAAAGCACATAAGTTTGAATTTTTCAAATGCCATTGCTGAGATGAAAGAAGGGTTTACCTGTAGTTTCTTTCTTTACATGAAGACACATATTTTAGAAAAGCAACCTTTGATGTGCTCTTTTCTTCTAAAGTTAATTTGTCATGAATTTTGAGTTTATGGTTTTGTCAAGAGACTTTTAAAATATATATAAATGTATATATATGTATGCACATATACATATATATACACATATATATATGTATATATATGTGTATATATATATAAAGTTCTGATGAAGAATAGGGACTGCCTTGTCCCTCCACTCAAATGTAATTTTAATCAAATCAAAACTGAATGGAGTTCAATAACTGGATGTTAATGCTCAACACTTGCTGACATTTAATTAGAGTTAGGCCACTGAATTTTCCTTCTAAAAGCTCCCTCTGTTTGAGAACAACAACCAAAAAAAAAGGCAGGAGAAAACAAACACAGGATGTTTAAGACTGATAGCAACAATGGACTCATTAACAGTCAGTTACAAGATAATTGACTTCTGTCAGCCCTAAAGATTTACAATTAATTTAAGGAAAGCATGTACCACTCCATCCCTCCCCCCCAAACAGGCTGTGTTGAGAGCTTTCTTTTCTTCCCAGGCCTAATGTTAACCAAGTAAAGCTTTTATTTAATACTTTTTAAAAATTAATATTAGGAGATACTAGTTAAAATTTTTTTCTTAAATTATCTTCCTGTTCTTGTAAAGTATCTATCCTTTTCTCCTTAAAAAAGAGAACTTCTGTCATTCACATTTCTGTTTTTTTTATGTAACAATAATTTACTAACAATTTAAAGACTAAGGTTAAGGTTGGGTAAATGGCAAAATTTACTACTCTGACCTTGCTACACCATCTAAAAGACTAAATGTCTAAAAAGATAAACAAAAATCATTACTTCCCTGAAAAAAAAAAGAATTTTAAACAGCTTTAGAAAGTTTCTGAAATAGATCTTAAAATAATGATCTATGTTTTTAAAAAGTTAAATTCATAGTCCAATATATGGTGAAACCACATAAACTCTCTTTTCCTTTTTTCTTATCTGAAGTGGTTGACCTCAGGAGAGGAGGAGAAGGTTACAAGGTCAAAGTCTTTTCCTCCTTGGATCTCACTGCTTGCTGAGAGAGGGTTGGCTGGAAAATAGATGTTTTAGAGCAGAGGTCAAGGGTCATGATTTTAATTCTGTTAAGGAACAGCTGGTTTGAGTTTCTTTCCACTTCTATCTCCCCTCCCTTCCTTACAAATCCATAGAGTGAAAAAAAATTTGTTCAGAAGGAACCAGTAACATAAAAATACATAGTTCCCGTGTTTTCGTACTTACAATGTGTCATCTTTGCTTTATCAGGAGGAAAAGAATGGTTTTGTAGAATTAACTGTACATGAGACCGGTCAAAAGCTTTAGTCCCTGGAATCTGTTTAAATATCAAGTTTAGTAGATCATAGGATTGTAGATTTAGATGGTTATTTGGTATTTTTTTTAACCTTTCCCCATCAAATATGAAGGATTGAATGGAACTGCATTTTATGAAAGCCTCTATATGTGTCAGATATTTGGAGACAAATTATGAAGTGTGGCACAAAGACTTGAAAAACCAAAGCAAGCCAAATGTTGAAGTCTGTGTGGACAGCCACATTTCTGTATTTGTACATATGTGCATGCCTTTTTTTGTGCATACATTCAGTCAGGCACACATTCAATACAGAATTTTATCTTCTCATTTGGAACAGCATAGGCCTTTAAAATTCTAGGCTGTTTGGGGTTATGTGATTTCCATAATATAATGATGAATTTGAGACCTTAATATGAGTATGTAGCAGTAGTTGCACATAAGTCACTGAAGAAAGCATAGCTTGACTACTTTTATTTATGTTTCTGAGTCTTTCATGCTTTTTTTTTAATTTGAAGACACACACATAAAGAATAAAACTCACAACTCCCAGATAAATGGCAAACCAGTTACAGATTTTTTGTCTGCACTCCTCAGCAACGTTGGCCTCAGGCTGTGTTGGTGTGTGGCTCAACAGCAACCAGAGGTCATAATTTCATTGGCGGTTAGCATCAGGTTTAATTTTTCTAGCATGTTACATTTACCAAAATGTCTGGTTTCAGTTACGCTCAGGCATTGACTGAATCCGCTTTGAGCTGTGTGATGTCTTAAGGTACCTGAGGTTTATGGAACACATATGCTAATTGTTTTTAACCACTTTCCTTTCTAAACACAAAAATGTGTTTTCTGAAAACCGTATAACAGTAGTTGTTAATGACAGTGCTTATTTCTTATATTAAAGTACTTGTAAGTAGGTAAAAATGGTGATTTAACGAGACTGCCACCTACTGATTGACACAGTAAAAAATGCCCCAATGAAGAGAATTGGTGGTTCTTTAAAAAAAAAATTATGTGCTTTTCTATTTTTAATAAAAAATTTGTTTTTGTTTTTCAAAGTCCAAATTGTAGTTTATTTTATTATGTTATTTTATTATTATTATTTCACTTTAGGAATGTGACCAAGTTCACATAGATGATGTCTCTTCTGATGATAATGGTCAAGACCTAAGGTAAGTCACTTGAGATCTAAATAATAGTCTTCATTTAGCAATTTGATTGCTTAGATTATTAGTGAAGTATCTTCTTGGTTAACATTGGACTTTTCTTGCATCTAAATAGCACATATAACTTTGGAACAGATGGCTTTCCTGCTGCAGCAACCAGTGCTAACCTGTGCTTAGCAACTGGTGTTCGAGGAGGAGTAGACTGGATGAGAAAGTTGGCCTTCCGCTATAGACGAGTAAAAGAAATCTATAATACCTACAAAAATAATGTTGGAGGCAAGTAACCATAGCAAATATCCTATATCATGCTTTTGTTCAAACATATTATCGTTGCTGTTCAGTCGTTTCAGTCATGTCTGACTTCGTGACCCCATTTGGAGTTTTCTCAGCAAAGGTAGTAGAGTGGTTTGCCATTTGATTCTCCAGCTCATTTGATAGATGATGAAACTGAGGCAAACAGGGTTAAGTGACTTGATCAGGATTACCTAGCTAGTAAGTGTCTGAGGCCAGATTTGAACTCGAGAAGATAAGTCTTCCTGACTCCAGGTCTGGCACTCCATCCACTCTACCACCTGGCTGCCCTCAAGATATCAAAATAATTTTGCTTCTTAGATATCATTTGCTTATATCAGCACCTTTTAGTTTGTTTCCCCTCACCGTTGACTATTGTATCTCCTTAAAATCTTATCACTTGTATTTCACTTTTATCAGTGCCAGAAAGAGCATTGAACTTGGAGTGACAAAACTTGGTTTTGGGTCCAGGATCCAAAACTTATGAGCAACATAGCCTGGCCCGGTCACTAAATTTCCTTGAATCTCAGTTTCCCTATTTAATCTACAAAATGTGAAAACAAAGTAAGATAACATCATAAAGAACTTCGTTTAAAAAAATGACATACTACATAAAAGTTGACTTGTCATTGTGGTCAGTGGTGGCATGTAAGGGAATGGAATGCCCTCTGTTACTAAATGTACACTCCTTGAGGAAAGGGACTGCTTTTTATCTTTGTTTTTGTATCCCTAGAACTTAGCATGTGCTGCCTATCACGTAGTAGGTATTTGTTCATCAGTGTGTTTACCCCTGTCAAATCAACAGGTCTTCTTGGTCCAGCCAAAAGAGAAGCTTGGCTCCAGTTAAGGGCAGAAATTGAAGCTCTAACAGATTCCTGGTTAACACTTGCACTGAAAGCCTTGACGCTGATTCACTCTAGGTAAGTGACCACACTTGGAGAGCGTTTATGGCAGGATGATTGAAAGAGTGTTTACAGCAAAATGTGTCTATGGTTTGTCCATAGTTTGCTTTCAGGTGGGTTTCATTTGGGGAAGTTAATTTTCAACATTTTTTTCCCCTGGTTCTCACAGGACAAACTGTGTGAATATTTTAGTAACAACTACTCAACTTATTCCAGCCCTGGCAAAAGTCCTGCTGTATGGATTAGGAGTTGTGTTTCCAATCGAAAATATTTACAGTGCAACAAAAATAGGTGAGCTATTTTTATCATCCACTTCTTCTGCTGCAGGCTACTAAAAATGAAAGACAGTCAATGAAACTTTTATCTGAATGGCTAAATAATTAGCTAAAGAAAAATCATCTGAGCAATTTTATTTCATTTTCAAAATTGGCTTGAAAATTCAGGGGAAATAAAAGTAGTATAATCCATGTAGTTAGTTGTGTTTTTTTTCCATAAACCTTCATATATCTGACTGTAATTAGGGCATATACATATTTGTTATACTTCACTTAGAATCTCTTCTTAATAATACATGATATCATTTTTCTTCTTTTAGACCGTAAAGAGCAAAACCCCTTTGTTTCATAAACTGAAACAAAAGCAGTAAGGGCTTAATGTAAAACAAAAATGTACATGTGCTAATTTTTTTTTGTTTAAAAATTTTCTTGCTTCTTTTATGCTATTCAGTCCAACATTTATTAAATATCCTGCATCATACTAGGAATTATGGGGAGTACACAAAAAATAAGGTCCAAAAATACAGTGTAGTTGGGGAGAAAAGGTGTACCTACATGAAAAAAAAATTAGAGAAAGAGAAAGATTCTCAATTTCCAAAATATATGCTTTTTATAGTAAGTGATTATGAAGTTAAAAAGAGGAGAGCTGAGTATGGACCAGAGTTGTCTGAAAAGGGTTTTTCAGAGGAAGTAAGATAGGAAGTGAACTTTGAAGGACAGATAGGAGAGAAGAAAAAGGATGAAATGTTATATGAGAAGAAGAAAAAGAGAGACAGTATGCCTGCAGGCATGAAGGATCATGAACAAGGTATATTTAGGGAATGGTGGGGATACAGATATGTTAGTGATTAGTGTGAATACCTTGCAGACAGAGAATTTAGATTATAGCAGGATTTGAATGGCAAAATGAGTTTGTATTTATTGAAGTAAATCCTTACCTTAGTCAAGAAACATTGTAAATTCTTTAGCAGGGAAATCACATGATAGAATGTTTTGGAAAGATTCATCAGTTTGGAGCAATTTAGCCTGATCTAGGAGAAAAGAAAGAGTGAAGACAAGGAAAACAATTAGTCTATTGCTGTAATCCAGTTGTGAGGCAATATTGTGAGCAGTAGGAATAGAAGGGTTGGCAAGAATCCACTGTTGCATTGAGAATCTCTTTATATATATCAATGTTGATCTCCTTGGTGAGATAAAATTCAGCATTTTTTGGCAATGCATTAACTGAAAAGCAAAAGCATGGTACCTGCCCTCAAAGAGCTCACACTCTAATGTTAATTAGTCCAATAGCATTTAGCAAATCAACATGCCTAGCTCATTCTGCATCAATCCAGCTTTATCAAATGCCATCTTTGAGGCCAGAGAGGACGTGTGTGTGTGTGTGTGTGTTTGTATGTGTATATGTGTATGTATGTATGCATATATATTCTAAGGAGAGAGACGATTGGTAAATAGTTTTATGTACATACAAAATATAGAGAGTGTAAAAGGGGAAGGCAAAAGTAATATGGGAGACTGAGGAAAGCCCTTTGCAGAAAGTGGGATTTGAGACGTCTTGAAGGAGGCCAGTAAAGCCAAGAGACAGAAGAGAGGAAGGAGAGCAAATGAGGCATGAGGGAGAGTCAATACAAAGGCATAGAGTTGGGATTTGGAGTCTTACGCTTGACCAGCGCCGAGTAGGAGAGTGCACGTGGGTCATAGAAAATGTAGAGGGAAGTAGAGTGTATGAAGACTGGAAAGGCAGGAAAGGACCCAGTTTCAAAGTGCTTTGAATGCCACTTTTCAAGCATATTTCAAAGATTTTTTTTAAGAAGGAAGGTACAAGTCCCAAATAGAAGACCTCCATGCAGCTTACAAGGATATGAATTTGGAAATGCCCTTAATAAAACTCTGTTTAAAAAGTTGAAGGACAGGGATATGCATTCAAGCAAATGAAAATCTCTCCTCTTTGTGGTTGGGTCATTTTTTAGTTGTGCCCAACCCTTTGTGACCCCTTTTGGGCTTTTCTTTGCAAAAATACTGGAGTGGTTTGCCATTTCCTTCACCAACTCATTTTACAGATAAGGAAACTGAGGCAAACAGGGTTAAGTGACTTGCCTAGAGTCACACAGTTAGTAAGTGTCTTGGGCCAAATTTGAACTCACAAAGATGACTCTTCCTAACTCCAGGCCAAGTGCTCTATTCTTTGTGCCACCTAGCTGCCCCAATTACCACCTTTCTAAAGTGTATTTTGGTAACTTACCAGGGTCATGGTATCAAAAGAATGCAGTAAGCCCTATCTCCCCAGATTAACAGTCCTGTGCAATGTATGTTTTTTATGTCAGGTGGATGAGACTCCCTAATATTTGGGTGGTTAGAATGAGAAATGACTATTTATCATCTAAGGAATACTTAAGTACAGAAATGTACCACTTAGAATAAAATTTATATTTAATAGAAAAATGGCTATTTTATTTTAAATACATTTGTAGGCTTGTGCCTCTGAATAAAGATGAAAAATTAAAAGTGGAAAATATTCTAGTGATCAAAAAAATAATAATCAAATGTAATACTCTTTCTCTGGAAATATGTTGTTTATTAGTAGAGGACTTTATAAATGAAGGTAGAAAAGAGAAAAAAATAAAGATTGAACTTAATGTATTTTTCTGTAAAAGTCACCATCAGATGTGGCATAACTGGGAATCTGAGGACTCAGGAAAGTTCAGGATTGGAATAATAGACAAAATACCAAAACTATATGAGTATTGTTCACAGCATGCTGACCTTTAAATCAATGGCTTCATTTTAAAGAAAACTGAATATTTCCAAATCAAATTGTAGAAAAGATTCTATTCATTTCCTAAATACTAAATTTTGTTTTTAAAACATAAATTCATCATCAGACCTGAAAATGATCATAATGAAAACTTTTATTTTTTTTTTCTGAATTGATGACTTCATTGGTAAAGGGAAGCTCCCAATAAGAAAAACAACCACTATACTGTATCTTCTAGTCTTAGAATTTTCAGTACTGAATGTTCTAGTGACTTGTTCAGGGTCACAAACCTCTGGCTTTGTGTCAGAGGCAGGACATGACTCTGAGGCCAGTGCTCTATCTACTATGTGTGCACCAGTACATCTTAATGAAAATTTAATTCTGAATTTATAATTGTTTTCTTAATATGAAAATGCCTTGTCTACAACAGGCAAAATTGGGACATCTTTTATTTTCATCAATTTCACATTAAAAATAAATTATTTTTTCTGAAAAAAATGTTATTTTATTTACATTTGTTTTTATATTTTTATATACATTTGCTTCTCAGGAAAAAAAACAAATTACTATATCTAGTTTTACAGTTTTATATTTATGTGGAGAAAGCAGGCGCTGTTTTTCTGTGGGTTTTTTAAGTAATTTAGTATTTCTCTAGAGTGAGATGTATTAATGAAATTGTGTCCTTTGAAAATATATGTATATATAAATCCCATTCTGTCAGATGCAAATGAGTATTTTTGAGGCAAAATACAAATATGAAGCAGACATTTGTTTAAGCAAACAGGTAATTTGTTCTCCTGTATATCTGATACTTATTTGAAATGGATGCAGGCACAGCTCAGCCATTCACATTTCAAAACCTATTTATAAGCTGGGCCATTGTCCACTAGAACAGGTCTGTTTGCAACAGAGGACTCAAAGGCCCAGTTTTTTTCCAGAAAGAGACAATGCTTGCATTAACTGCAGCACAGGGCAGACAGTGCCTCAGACAGACACTGTAGTCTAAAGGAAGGTCTGACATAGAAAAAGATAATGAACAGATAAGCTGGTAATCTATATAGAATTACTTTTATCCTATTTTTTCCTTTAGGAAAGTGTTTTATTGGACTTTGGTTGTCTAGGTATGGGATTTGCCATTCAGAGCAAAAACTCCCATTATTTCTCTAGTCTACTTTGACATATTATTCTCACAAAAATATCTCAACTGGACATGGCAACCCTTTTATAAAGGAATATGGTAAGAGAACCTGAAAAGAATGATAGACCTCAGATAAAAAGAACCTCCTAAGTTTTTTTCTCTTGCTACAAGAATAGCGATTCTAATAACATTTCCCCATTTTCATCCCTGTCTAGGTAAAATTTCAACTGTTTTTAAATGTCAGTGTAGTTCAAAACATTATTGCTTTTTGCATCTATACATTAAAGAAATTCTGTGTGTGTGTGTGTGTGTGTGTGTGTGTGTGTATTACATAATGGTGTTAACTCACTGTTTTTCTAAGCACCACAAAACAAAATCTTAAAACTCAAGCTATGTCCATAAAATTGATCATCTTTCACCTCTGATTAGACATATACACACACCCCACCACCAACAAAAAAGACAATGGAAAATGGTTTTTGTTTGATTTCCCTAGACCCCTCAAGTTCATGTTTGTTCAGTTCCTACTAGTGAGTAAATGTTTTCTTCAGAATCATTTCTTGATACATGTGGGGAAAAAAACCCAATTCTGAGGAATATTTAAAATTTCAGACAATTTGATTGATGAATTCTTTGCTCTGAAGGCCTGAAGTGACAGACTTCTTCACATATCTTATTTAGTCAGAATCTAGTTGAATTATAAAATTTAAGTATGCAATGTGAATTAGCAAATGTGAGGCACCTTTTATTGACTTAAAATCATTGTGTGACTGATTATTTTATTATCAATATTCTATTGCCCAGACTTTAAAAAAAAAATAAGTTTTTTTCCTACTTATTTCTGTCCTTTAGGAAAAGAAAGTTGTTTTGAGCGAATAATTCAAAGGTTTGGAAGAAAAGTTGTATATGTTGTTATAGGAGATGGTGTGGAAGAAGAACAAGGAGCAAAAAAGGTAATAATCCTTTCTGTATAATTGGTTTCTTTTAAGAGAATGGGTCACTTAAAGAACAATGAAATAGTTTTGGGAAAAGTACACTGCCATGAGAGGAATGCATCTTTAGATGTTTAACATTTCTCCTGATTGCAGCTGTCCAATCAAGCATTTATTTCTCCCCCTCTGGATTAGGAACTTAAATGTATTCAATGAAAAAAATTATCGTGATTAAGATAGAAAATGATGCGATTTTCCAAATGCAGGCAGTACATGAAGGAAAAGGTTTCTTGGATAGTGCTATTAAATATGTATTTTTTATACAGTTCCATGCAGAACATTTTTTCAAAGCATTATGTCTGAGGGATTGTTACAGTTCATTTTACAGATAAAATTTCTGTATCTTAAGCTGCCCTCCTTGTGAAAACCTCTTCCAGAACACTGGTCCTTCTTTAGAAAGCTGAGTATGTTCACGGGACCGTAATCTTAAATATCCCATACCCTTCTCATATGGTCCTCACTGTAGCACCCAAAGATAAATGTAGTTCATTCATAGCCCCTCATTTTATCCTTTTGCCCCTAAAGATAGTGGAAACAGACGTTTTCCCATCTGTAAACACATATTTATTATTTCATCAAAGTTCGTTTTAACTTCAGAGGAAAAGGAAAGTTTGGATATCTTGAATCTGAAAGAAACTTCCTAAACCTCAATAGCAATTTGGTTCTGGCTCTGATTATAGAAATACTCTCTATCTTGAGTTCCAGATCCAGGTCTATGGAGGTTTAACTTAGCAACCTGCAACACTCCCTTAATCTCTGTGTATCTCAGTTTTTCCCATCTTTAACCTGGATAATAGTTCACTCTTGCTACCACATGTGAGTGTTTACATTACAATCTGAATGTGTAATTTATTAATGATATTAAAACAGACAATATTTAGCAGAACACGAGCAAATTAAATACATAGAAATTAATAAACATTTTATATATTATATGCTGTAATATGTCTTATTGTTGTTCCCTATTAAGTTGTGTCCAACTCTTTGTGTCTCCATTTGGATGTCAGCGGTTTGACATTTCTTTCTCCAGCTTATGTTACAAATCAGGAAATTGAGGCAAACAGGGTTAAGTGACTGGCCCAGGGTCACACAGCTAATAAGCACCTGAGGTTGGATTTTAACTCAGGTCTTCCTGGCTCCAGATCTGGTGCTCTGTCTAATGCACCACCTACCTGCTGTATGATTTTAAATACTCACAATCTCAGTAGCTAATTACGCTTTTTTCCTGATAAATAAACAAATATAATTGTTTACACACTTTTTAAGAGTACAGACAGTCTGATGCAAATTTTCCATGGGATATGTTGAATATGTCATTGAATTAACCAACAGGAGAATTTGTTCATAGCTAAATTTCCATGCATTCATCGTGTTTGCTTCACTAAATAACACCCAGATCCAGATATTTGGGAACATCCCAATAAATGACACAGATGGGACTTGCAGACAAACTTTGACCCTAAATTAAGCATTATATATACCACATCTGTGTGATGCAGTAGATAGAGTCCTGGGCCTGGAGTCAGGAAGACTCATCTTCTTGAGTTCAAATCTGGCCTCAGACACTTACTAGCTGTGTGACCCCAGACAAGTCACTTAACCCTGTTTGCCTCAGTTTCCTCATCTGTAAAATGAGCTGGAGAAGAACATGGCAAGCTACTCCAGTATCTATGCCAAGAAAATCTCAAATGGGGTCAGACATAGCTGAACAAAATACAACACTTACGTGGTGTTGGGTCTTACGTAGGCATTATTTCAACCCTGGAATCTAGGATAATTTCTCGTCTGCCTGAAATTAGGGTGGACCAAACTCATATTTCTAGAATCTCCCCTGTACCAACTAGATCTGAATGCTGGGAAAGGTCAAGTACCTTACTTTGCCTTCTCATTAGCTAATGGACCAGTCCAGGACTTCCCAAGAAGGTCTAACTCTACCGAGGATATGCAAGAATGGTTTAAGAATCTAGAGGATGATCACAGTATCACAAAGGAAGCTAGTTGCCAAAGCAATTCATAGTTCAGGTTCTATAACATTTAGTAGTTTGGGTGGTGTAAGCCATTGACAGTATATATTAGATGTCCCAGTTCCGTCATTGTCCAGTGACACTATAGAGAAACATATCTGTTTGTTCTATCAGAGCTGATTGCAGTCTAGTGAATCATGAGATTTCCCAGATTGTTCCAGGGCCCTCCAAACCTACCGCTCCCTAATGAGCCGACAATAACTCCTGAATGTAGTTTAGAGCCATTTCATCTTCTTGGCAGAGCCTCGAGATAGTGACAACTCAGCTACATTGGACCTCCTGGAGTGTCTTGACGGAGTCTATTACTGGCCTGTATTTCAGGAAAGAGAGCCAAGGTTGAAGTGTAGTCAGTGTTGTGCCAAAGTGGGCACTTGCCAAGACATGGGTCTGCCTTAGAGGCTGGTATTTTTTACTCTGGCATTCTCTGGAAAGGAAAATTCTAGGATAATCCTTATTAAAGGTACCAAAATGTTGCCTTTCCCCTTGTGGTGACCAATGTGATGAGTCTGAAGCCAGACACTTACAATACCAGGAAAAATCAGTAAACTCTGTTGAACCAAATCAAGAATACAGTTAGTGATTTGTTTTGACAGCACCTTCCTAAGACAGAGTTTTTATGTAATTTAAATGTGTATACATATGTGTGTATAAATACATATCTGTATATATTTAAATATGTATAAGTAAAATAAAAAATAAAGCAATATTTTGTAGGGTATTATTTTTTCTGATATGTGTAATATTTATTTTTGCTAATTAATCATGCAATACTTGCATATAGTATTTAATTTTTTTTAATATTACTGATCTTTTTTTCTCATATCGCCTTCATTTTCAAATATATCATTTCCCCTTACCCTTCAAAGAGAGGGTTGGAAAGGTAGTTCAGTAAAACTGATCAACGCTTCAGCTTTTTCTGGCTGAATCTGCAGAGGTCTAGTCCTGTGAGCTCTACACTCTGAGACAAAATTCTCATTAAAATAAAGATAGATTAAGTTGGGAATCATTCTGTTAAATATTGACAGCTTGTATCTGTGAGACCTTAGATGTGTATTATTTTTTGTGATCTGTAAAAGGAAAAAATTTCCAACAGAAACAAAAACATTTTAACGGTGATATAGTAGACCTAGCCTCATAAACAAGATGCCCTGGGTTTCAAGTTCTTTCCCTGTCACATGATGCCTGGCAGGTGACTTAACCTCTCCCTGTCTCAGACAACCCTCTAAGACTATGCCTTATAGACAAGCGGCTAACCTGTAGTGATGCAAGGAGCTTCCTTATTAAGGAATTTTCTGTTCCATTGAGATGATAGTCCCTAAACCCATCCCTATTCAACAAAATTCAGCAAACATTAATGATCAGGCTTGATCCTAAAGAGAGGGGCAATGTAGCTCCTTCTTTTCTTTGCAGCCTATCTCAGTCATTTATATATGTTAAATTTTGTTGAATACCAGTTTAAATTGTTTAGTTTCTTTTTGAACAATTTTTTTCTCATAAAACACTCACTAAAACATGAGACCTAACAGCTCTAGGGTAATAATGATTAAATATGATGACTCCTGGATCATCTGTCAATATTTTAAATGGGAATTTGTACTTGTACCAGAAATCCAAAGGTGTGTGCCACATCTGTGCTTGTTTGAGAGACAGTACTCTTCAATAAGCATTCATTAAGTGCCTGCCAGATGCTATGCTATGCACTGGTGAACAAAGACAAAACAAAACAGTATCTGTACTCAGGGAGTGTACCTCCTATTCAGGAGAAAGCAAGACATAATAGATAGATGTTGTTATTATTGTTATTCATCCTTCACTTCTGAGGAGAACCAATGGCCTCACAAGGGTGATGTCTTCAATTGGATTGAAGTAAGGCAGAGTTGTGCAAAGTGGTTAGCCTCATGTAGATAGAGAAGAGAGAGAGAGAGAGAGAGAGAGAGAGAGAGAGAGAGAGAGAGAGAGAGAGAGAGATGTAGATGTAGATATATCTGTGTTTGCACACACATACACACAAAGTAAAAAGGAAGACATTAGCAAATTAGGAGTGAATCAGTACATTTCTCTTGAGAGGGTAACACATGAAGTGAACCTTGAATGATGCTAAGGAGTCCAAGTAGAGGTGAGGAGTGAGAGCATTTTGGGCATGAGAAAGTGCCCACTCAAAGGAAGATGGTAATATCCATTATAAATGAGCTCAGTGCATATTTTCCAGAACCAGTAAAAATTTTCCAGCTAATTTTTTTAAATTTCAGAATACCAACTAGTTCCAGCAAAAGATACAGATGTAATGAGCCCATCACTTAACAATGTGTTTTATTTTATTTTTCTTTTATACCTAAGTATTCAATTCTTGTGGTCCTTCAGTATAGGCACAATATTCTGCTAGTCGTGATTTCTGTATTTGTCTAATAGAGAAGGGTCTGATTTTTTTTTACTTACACTGAATTATGAGAGAAATTCTTTACTTTTAAATAGGCAATATTACAAAAACCTAAATTTGGGGGGAAATAAATCTATAAAACAGGTGTGTCTCACTATACCTTAAAATAAAATAAATTATGGGGTGATTACCCTCATTATTAAGGGATTCTTTGCTTTGCAAAAGGAGTTAACACAGAGTTCTTTTAAATAATAAGCTTCTCTTGCTCACTGAAAATATTTTTATTACCAAAAAAGCAATTCACATCCCACTTCTTAAGAAAATGTCTATTAGAATTAAGTGAGGGTCATATATATCTTAACTATTGTGTATAAATGTGTACATTTGGTCTATATGTTGGAGGTAGGGGGGAACACCTCCATGAGGATGTAGGTTGTTATATTGTTTTGTTTCTGAACTTAAATGAAACTTATTAGTAGCTGTGATAACATAATAAGATTTAACACCAAACTATTCTATAGAAGCAAATGCCAGTTCACATCTCTTCAGAATTTTCCCTC